GGGGCTGTGCCCGCCGGTGTGGGGAGCAGCCACCGACCTGGTCATGCTGAGGGCCCAGAGCTGGACTCACTGGCGTGGCGCCTCCGTCCCGCTCCCGGGGCCGGCACCAGGCCACACGCCATCGGTCCCGTTGTCACCCGCAAGCTGCAAGACAGAGCAGAGAAAGGGTCAGGCCAACGCCGAGGCGCCACGCTGCCGCTCTGCGTTTCTTTTTGCAGCAAAGGAACGGGCGCCCTGGGCACGAAGACGTCGTCCATGGGGTCAGGGAGCACCTCGAGGGATGCGGCAGGGATGGCCCCAACCGCCCTGGGTGCCGCACTGGGACTCCCCCCCTGCATCACCTCACCCGAGGGAAGCGCTCACCTCTCCGGGGACTCTGACACGGTTGTCATGGATGGGTGAGTCGTCTTCCCGAAGAAGAAGCTGGCCCACCAGTGGCCAGGGTCGGACTTGGGCAGACCTGGAGGACAGCACGTGCCAGGGAAGGTGCAGGTCAGTGCAACCCAGGCAGCCCCCCTACCACCCCAGGCTCATCCCACAGGAGCGGCTGGGTCACCTCCAGTACGATTTGCAGTGGAGGGGCCAGGAGCAGCGTGTCCCCCCCCCTCCTCGCAGACCCGAGCCTGGCAGCACTTACCCGGGGAGTGGGGGATGACCTCCCCAGAGTACTCCGAGCTGCCGCAGGAGCTGTTGCTGGATGTGGAGCTCAGGCGCTCTGTGGAGAAATCGCGGCCATCAGAGCCACCACCGACCCTCATGCACGCCACGAAAAGCAGAGCGTGGCCTTGCTGTGGCCGCCCCTGGGGCGACACGGCTCAGTCTGCTCACTATCTCGCTCCAGTACTTGCCCAGCTTTAGCACCAGGTGGATAGAAACCACCAGGAAGGGAACACTGGTGAGATTGCAAGCTGGCCAAGAGCAGGCAGCAGAGAAGGACCTGAACACCTCTGCAGGAAAACGCTTGCAACCCCAAGGACATTATTTAATGTCGTTGCATCTGTATGCAACACTTGAGAGGCCTTTGCAGGCGAGTCGAGGCCAAGACGACACAGATTCCTGCCTATAATCCACGCAGTTTTAGTCCAACTGCTACAAACCTGTTACTAGTTTCAGCTCGAGAGGAATACTTTAATTCCCTCTGGTTTAGGCAATCCATTCCACCAGAGAGTCTCTCCCCTCGTGAGGCACCAGTAGCTGCCATTGCCCAGACTGGTTTTGCAGCTCATTCCCACAGCAACCCTGCGAGATCCCCTCCCCTCGCCCACCACCTTAACAACAAATGAAGGAGTTTGCAAGACCCATCTCCAACTGGTCCAACTGGGCAGGGGCTGCGGTGGCCCAAAGGGGGGGTCCGAGCGGCCGGAGGGATGGCTGCTGGCTGCCCCTCTTTCTCAGCAAGGAGCCTGCCAGCTCCCCTCGGGGCTTGGGCTACAAGCTCACCCCTGAGCTCCTCTTCAGCTCTGCTGGAGCCACGTCCCCCTCGGAGCCTGGCAGAGCACCCTGCCTGCTCGCCCACCACCCCAAGCCCACCCCAGCCCCGAGCGCACGCCCTTACTTCGGTAGTAGTTGTGCGTCGCCATGAGCGAGCCGCTCGACGGGATGGATGCCATGGTCCTCGAGCTTGGCTCCTGCGCGGCCCTAAAACCTGCGAGCAGACGGGCAGCCTTAGGGGCCGCAGCACGGCCCCCGCCCACCCGAACCCGGACTTGTGCCCACACAGGAGAAAGCTCCAGGAGCTCAAGGGGCCCCAGCGGGATTCCTCAAGGGATTTGACGCCCATTCCGGGCGCAGAGCTTAGCGCCCGCCGTGCTACGCGCCGTCTAAACCCGCGGCCGTAGAGCCAAGAGCTACGTGCAAAACCAAAATAATTCCCTCGAAAGTCGCCGCCTGCACAGAGCGCAGGCCTGGCGAGTCGGCGCAGCTCCTTCCCCAAACCCCACGTTGGGTGTTCCGCTTCCTTGTGGAAAAATCCCAGCTCCCCTCGTCGTATCAACAGTTGGGAGTTACGAAATCTCAAGTAGAGCCTGGGCAAGGAGCAAAGGAGCGTTTAGCTCCGGGCACATACCGAGCTTTTTCTTGGCAAGGGGGTTCCAGCCCC